TCAGTGAGGTTTTTGCTGCATATGTAAGACTCTCGAGAGATTAATTTGCTCTAAACTTGAGTAAATGCTCTGAGATGATGTATTTTGTTTTTTAATCATAGATGAGGGGTAGGGGGAGGAGAAGGGAAGGTCCAAAGAAGCAAAGGTTGATTTTTAGCTGAATCTTCAAGCATCAGGCAGGTCAATTTCTATCTCACCTAAAATATCTCTGTCCTTTTGTATGTTAAAAATATAACTAATGTACAAGGAGATGATGAAAAGAAAGAGGAAGCCCAGGCTGCATGACTCAGTCAGGCCCTACAATGGTTGGCTTCCATCCAAGACTAACAATCCTTTGGATTTCCCTCACCAAAATGTAAGCCTGAAGCAATATGGGGAGTGCAGAGTACAGAAACGTTGTCTGTGGCATGGCAAGAAGCAAGCAAACAGGACCTTAACAGAGGAAAGGAGTCCTTTTTTTCCAAGGAAACTAGAAGCTTGGGGAGGACATTTAGATTTGGGAAGGGGCTCATAGGATTGACCACTTGTCGGGTGGCATTAAGCACGGTCGACAATGAGTAAATTCCCCAAATGTGGTGGCCTTCTCAGTGTAGCAGCTAGCCTCTTAGAAGCGGCTTGTCCCATCGGTTACTGTCTGAATATTTATTCAAATGTCTGCTCTTGCCTCCTTTCCATGTAAGTGGTATTTCTGTTGGAAAAAGGAGAAAACTCGGGCAGCAGAATCTCCCCCTTGCTGGAGAAGTGGCTGCCAGCTTTGCTGTTTCACTATATAGTTCAGTGACCTACTTTACCAAACCTGAGCTGGGTGGTGAGCAGGACATTTAAGCCACTCTAGTCAGAGGAACAGTATTTCTCAGATTCAAACAGCCCTTCATATTGAAATGAAAGCTAGTTTTTTTCTTGTTTTCTTTTTAGTGAAGGTGGGAGATGTGCGGTCACTGTCCTCTCTCTCCCTCCACACGCCTGGTGACCTTATTGTTTTCCTGCCTGCCTTGTCATTACGTAATCTTGGTTTCTTGAACTGCTGCTTCTTGGCTCCATTTTCTCATCCTTTAGCCATTTTGGTGGCTCTCCTATGAATCTCTTGTAAGTTCTTTTTGTTGTTGCTATCAAACTGCGGAACTCAGAACTGGACAGAGTAAGGTCTGACCAGCCCTGAATAGGCACTAACAGAAGTTTATTCTAAATATTTTTTTGTAAGGAATTCAATCACTTGATTATTTCAATCCCCTCATCCTAGCTCTGTAAAGTGTAATTTTTTCAAACAAAAGCAGTTGATCCATCAACAATAAGCCATTAGGATTAGAGAATACTTTATTTTGAAGCCCTGGGTTGATCTCTAATAGGTTTTAAGAGATGAAAAAGCAGATGGGACCCAGATGTTTTTCAAATGCTATCAAGTTGATTGGTGCTCCCTGGTCCAGTGAGCTCTGGGATTCAACATTCCAGGCTTCTGTCTTTACCTGTTCTTGCAGGTAACACTTTAGACAAGCCCCACCAGTAGGGATCACACAGCCATAACATTTTAGAGCTAGAAGAGACCTTAGCATTTAGCTAATTCAACCCCTTTGTTTTACAAAAGAGAATGTTAAATGACTTGACTAAGGTTACAGAGCTAGTTAATGGTAGAAGCAGGACTAGAATCCAGGTCCCTGACTCCTACCTCGTTCAGGACTTTTGGCACCTCAGCAATGAAGCCTCTGGAGATTAGCTACAAGGGGATTCCTTTGGCAAAGAATTAACTTACAAACAGTAACCTTTTATTTGCCTCTCAAGGTGTGGTGAAAGATTATTAATATTCATAAATAGGTTTTTTTGGTTTGTTTTTTAACTGCTAGAGTTCCAAACAAAGTTTTGCTCAAGGAAACCTAGAGTATTATCCCATTGGACACGATAAAGTGTCCCTAAGCATATGCTGATCGATTGACTAGAAGCAGACGGAGACAGTATTATCTCTTCTTCTTTTTTTTTTTTAAATGTGAGGCAATTGGGGTTAAGTGACTTGCCCAGGATCACACAGCTAGTAAGTGTTATGTGTCTGAGAGTGGATTCGAACTCAGGTCCTCCTGACTCCAGGGCCAGTGCTCTATCCACTGCGCCACCTAGCTGCCCTGACAGTATTATCTCACTTATCACTTTATTGGCTGTGTACGTTAACGAATGCCTCACAAAAAGAGATTCCTGAGGTTTCGTTATATGGCAGGGATCGGAAAATGGGGTCCTTTACACAAGTGAAATTTATGGTTAAATACAATTTGCCCCTTTCAGCTCAAAGGTCTTGAAAGTTTTAATGATTTTAAATAGAAATCTTTCTAGATGGTATGACAATATCAAAACGAGTATGGGGTCCTGGACTGTGATTCATCGGTATTGGGAACTCCAAGGTAAGGAAACTGACTCTATGAATAAGGCAGGTTCCTCCTCTGCAACTGAGCTCTCTGGTGGTAAAGAGTGCCCGGCCAGGGTCACACAGGCTGTCCCACTCTTCCCACTGTCTCTCAAAAAGAACAGAATGCATCTGACAGAATCTTTTCTTTAATGTCTCAAGGTCCTCTTTAGGAAGATCTGAGGGCTGGTGCAGCAGAAAGGGCGCTTTGCTTTTGCACCAAATGGCCTCAGATTGTCGTGTTTCTTGAATTCTGGTGGCTGCTTTTTATGACTGGGGTTTTTCAGGCCTTCTCCCTGGCTGTTAAGCTCTCTCATTCCTCCCCACTGTCAATAGGCCTGTCTCTCTCTAGCAATGCTTCCCCTCTTTCCTTTGCTTTCCACAATTTGCTTTCTATAATTTGCTGGTTCTAATATGCTGTGGCCTAGGAAACCAGATAACCAAACTTGTTAGAACTGTAAACAGTAAGTCAGTTTAAAGAAACAGTAACAGGCTCTAGATGAGGGTTGAAGGGCTCTCAGATGAGTAAAGTACAGAAGCTTTGATGTATGACTGCTGAGACATCTCTTTTGCCCGCTCAGATAATTTTTGCTTGTTTCCTGGCTCTTGGCCACGTTTGTGATTGCTGAAGTTAAGAACCAAGTGATTTCTGGGTAAGTAAGGCATTACTGTAATTTCTTTATTTCAGAGACATTTACCTTTTGTCTTCCAGAAACATGGAGCCAACTGTTTATCTGGATTTACTTACCTTCAATTTAACTCCACAGAATATTTATAATCATTTATCATGTGCATTGCATTGTGTTAGGTGGAAGACAGGAAATTTTGTTAAGCCCTACGGCAGCCTACTAGATAAAACCCAGCAGGTTTATCTTGGGAATTGGTAAGTGGCAACCACTGTGAGATCTTCCTAAGTAGGGCTACTTACTAAGTGAGGAGTTTCTGAAAAGAATGCTCCCCATGGGTACAGAACAGAATCAACCCTGTTTTTCTCTTTTCTAAAATAAACAGAACAGCCTGTCTAGAGGTTCTGATTAGCCACAACACCAGTAGGCACCACTTCCCATTTCTGCCTTTTGTATAGATCCAGGTGAGGAAGACTGAAAATCTGCACTCTGTCTTATTTATTTTTTTCTCTTTGTTCATTAGTTAAAGGGACTCGCATTTTTCAACATTTTCTGTGTTGTCATGTGACTCCCTTGCATAGGTATTACCCAATACAGGAAGAGGAAAACCTCAGACAGAGGAAACCAGCATGACACTTGCTGACAGAGAACCACACCGAAGCACGGTCACTGGGAAGGGCCAGCCTAAGCCCACAAAAGCCAGGAAGCAGCTCAGAAGGCAGAGACAGACTGTAGGCACACCCCCTTAGCTCCTGATACTTGCTGTTTAGGTTTTCATTTTAAAAAAGAGGTCAAGAAAGAAAGCATATGCAGGTCAGAGCAGGCTGATTTGTGTTTTCAGTAGATGGTTCTAGAGGGTGTGCTGAGTTTTTGGAAAAGTGCTTGATGTTGTGAAGTTTAAAGAGTATTTGTTCTCCTTTAAGGATCAGAGCTGCTGACATCCAGGTAGGGCTTTCAGGTTTACCATAGGCTTTACAGACACTCCTGCTCAGAGCTGTGACTTCAGGGTCATAGATAGACGGCTCCCAGTTGAGGAAAGGCCTCTAATAAGGAAGACCTGAAAACACTCTGCAGCTCAAGATCTTCCTCTCTCTGCTGTCTGTCCTAAAGGCACATCTCGGAGTCAACAGAAGCACTCACAACTTCTGCCTTCAAGGCAGGGAGGGAGGTATTAATATCCCCATTTTATAGCTGAGAAGACTGAGTCTCAGAGAGATTGAATGACTTTGCTTGTGATCACACAGGTAGTAGGTGTCAGGGGCTGAATTAGAAACCAGATCTCTCCTGACTTCAAGCCCAGGATGCTTTCTACTAAACCTATCTACGTGAATAACCGTAAAGTTAAAATACAAATAGAAGCTATTAAATTAAATTTAAATTATGTAATTAAAAAAGAAAATTAGCCACTGTTTCAAAATGCTAAAAGCTAGAAAGCAATTAAAAAACTTTTCTAATCTCAGCCATTAATTATCTATTGACACTACCACTTAATAGGTAAAATTATTTAAAATATTTGAGTATAGTTAGGAGGATTCCAGCATCCCAGGAATTCATCAACCTGCTGCCAACATGGTGATGAGCTGTTTCTGAACCAAGCTCAGATGCTCTTCAGAGAACAGGCAGCGTCTGTCACTGGGCCTGACCTCAAAACCCTCTCAGGATGTACAGTAGGGCTGGCCAGACCTAGAACTGCCTTGGCACTGGTTCAGGATTTAAAGCAGGTGATTCCAGTGAGAATAACATCTGTATCACCTCATCACTTGCTGGCTGCAGAATGTGGTACTCTCTCTCCAAGTTACTCTCAGGCAGTGCCCAGTAAGTGACAGAAGATGAGTAAGTGGGTCCCAGACAAACTACGGGTAGTTGAAAAACCGAACGATTCAAGTGAGATGGTCTGCATCTTATGTTACAAGCAACTTTTTGTGCCCCCCAGTGCATTACTTTCTTTTTTTTCCAATAGGATTTCTACATTGTTGAAAAGAAGTTACCTGTGGTCAATAATTGTTACACTGGAGGGTGGAATCCCCAAAACATCACAGCTCTGCAAAAGTTCTCTCTTACGAATGGCCCCTTGATTGTAGTAATTGCCTAGGGATAACAAATAAATCAAGGGCAGGTTTATATCACACTAGACATAGGGGGTGGCTTGTAGGCCATCTTTGTGATCATGACAGAAGGCTGCAACAAAGTTCAGAGCAAGGACAGCAGTCACACAGCACACCGTCACGATGACGTTTTGCATGTGACTCTGGGCAAGCCCCTAGACTTTCTGGAGCATGTTTCTTTGTACATAAAATAGGGATGCTCCTTCATTTCCTGTCTCAAAGAGTTGTGAGGATCAATTGTATGGGAAAATGCTTCTGTAATAAAAGATAAAAGTAAGCCATCTCAAAGTGAGGTATTACAGACTATTTCACACCTGCTTTTGGTGACAATAACTTGGGTTGACTACATATATATGTACATACATTCATGTGTTCTAGTGCAAATGTGCACATGTGCAGGCATGTGTACACACACACACACACACACACACACACACTGCGTATCCATTTTGTAAGAGGCATCATTGCCAGCTTGTAGCTGACAGACAGCTGGCCTCAAAACAACAATGACCTGGGTTTAAGCTCTACCTCTGATACAGGTTAGTTGTGTGACCCTAGACGAGTTGTTTAACCTCTCCTGGCTCTGGCAGTTTTCTAAGACTCCCTAAGTTTCAGAGATGTTATTGGCAAGCATTGGTAGAAATGGTTTCCTCAGCTGGGAGCTCCCTCTATCAGTGAAATGCCAAGCCCAGTCTCTATCTCTATGTGTTTTTTACTGATTTATCTATGTACATGTCTCTACTCTAAAGAACATGGAAGTTCTTTAAGGGCTGGGACTATTGTTTTTGTCTTTGTATCTTCAAGGCAGGGAATGGAAAGCACTTGGAGGTGTTTGTTGAATGAATGCACCAATGAGGGTCAGAGTTTGGTGAGATCATAGGTTCACAGATTTAGGTCTGGAAGGGACCTTAATGATCAATCCTTAGCCAGTCAGTACATCAGATTCTATAAGGAGACTGAACCTGAAAATAGGCATTATCATCACATGTTTGCATTTTTTCAACATTCTGAAAATATAGCCTATTTTTTCCCACTTATATCTTAAGTCATATCTACAAACTGCTTCCCATTACAAATACTGTAAAACCAAATTGCTGTTCAAGAGTATTCTGTCAGACAGCACAGTGCATATTTGCCCTTTGATGACATACAGAAAGTTAGACTGATGCTAGTGAAGCCTAGGGCTGAAGTGTCCAAGGCCCCGGGTTAACTACACTGTGTCAGGACTAGGGGCTCAAGTTAGAAGAGCATGCAGGGAAGATCTATCAAATTTTCCCTTCCCCTTTCCTTCTCTCAGCCAGCAAACACTGAACTCTTTTAAAATTTTATTTCAGTTTGAGGAAACATGGAGAGTTCAAAAGAAAACATGACACACAAAAAAATTGCACTGAACTTTGGAGAGGAATGAGCATTAGCAATTCTCAGAAAATAGGCTTAGAGGATAGGAACTGAGGTAGGCCCATGTGATTCACTTTGCACAGCACCTAACTGTACCATGAACAATTAGGCAGGAAATAATGGCTTCTGATGAGTAAAACTGACTATTGTTTTCAGACATGATCATTTGTGATCCCAAGGAGTCTGACACAAAGCTACTATTTAAAAACCCAAACACATACACTCAAGCATTGTGGAATCAAGACCATTTGGGATTTCATTTCTAATGGCTTTTCCATTTTCTCCTGGGATAGCCTTCATTTCTTCCAACTTAGTGGTATAAAACATATGTTTATAATAATAAGTAGCATAACTTTTGCAAAATTGAACACCCAGCTTTTATTTTTCACGTATGAAAGAAAAATCCAGAAATACTATAGTGTATGTTAACAGAGGAAAAAAATGCAACTATATATTCAAATCAGTTATCAATATTTTGATTGCATTTTTAAGCAATTTTTAAAAAAATTCTTTCTATGTTGATTGCATTGAAACTCTGTTCTTTGTTTTATAAGAGCTGGAAGAGGTCACCTAGTCCAACCCATTGAATTTAGTGGAGAAGCTAGCTTATCCAAGGTCATAGCTCAAAGAGCAGAAAACAGATAGAACCAGGCTTTCTACCTGTGCCAGAGCTGCTTCTCCTCATAAGATTAACACATTACGCACTTAGCCCCACTGCACTCTGGGTAAAAACCAGAGATCCTAATACATAGGGCATAGTGTAATTTAGCAATGGAAGCACTATTTGGGTCATTTCTTAGCCATAAAACATACGTAAAACTGCTTTTTCAGTCAAAACAAAAATTGTTTGGGAACCTAGCATGAATTTTACTGTAATAGGTTATAAAGATACAAAACTTCTGAGACCAACAACTACAAGAGGACCTCTGGGAAGGGAATGATTTCTATTAAAATAATACCAATTTATGCAATTGTTAATCAGATATACTCTTGAATGTTTATAATATAACAGGAAATGCTCCAGAAATCCCTAGATGCTATAGTTAAATTGTTGGAGATGGGGAGGAGAGGAAGAAAAGCTTCTATTTTTGATACTGAGTTGAAATATATAATAGTTTGAAGATGTATTGCTAAATAGTGTGTGTGTGTTTAACCCAATCTCTCTGTAGATTTCAATTCCAAGGAAACTAGTGAACTTTTTTTTTAAGGTTCTTTACAGAAATTATATTGGATAAGTTAAATGATCTATGGTGAAGTTAGTTACTAATACTTCAACAGATATCTTCTATAGATCTGAGCACCTAAGGTCTGGACTTTATTAAGTTCTAGGAATCCTTGTCCCACAGAGGCTAAAAATATATGTGAAAAGATTAGCAATATGTGGAATCTATCCATGTACTACCCATGTGCATTACATTTTTAATAACCCCCTTCTAATTAGGTATTGTGGGCCAAGAAGAAATATGAGCTAATTTTAAAATGTGTCTAAACAAAACACATAGGAAAATAATATTCTTTTCCCTGTCCCCTCCCTATCATCATATAACATATTCCAAATACCAATAAGAAATAATTTGGGGGTAACCTTAGCATCATTGTTTCAGTCTATTAGCATGGATACTGAAGAGTTGACTCTGCTACCAAAATGATTAAAACCACAACTAAGCTAGTCACAAATCCAGGACTCAACTTTGCACATATATTGAAGGTTTATCTATTTTAACATTAATTTTGTTGTATAGTGAACTTCTCAAATTGGTCAGGTATCAGTCTGGAATTTGAAAACATAAATGTTTTAAATGATTCCATTTAAACAGTTTGGTTGAACTATTTATTAAACACCTTAATTTGTTTTCAAAGACTTACTACTCTTGAGGATAAACATCTTCATAAGGTGTAAATCTGATTTTGGGTCGCATATTCGTATGGTTCTTTCGACTTGGTCAAAGTGAATAGGTACCAACATAACATCACAACAAAATTTCTCTTGCAGTATTTGAAATAAACTGACAAATTGATCATAGTAATTATAACTACACAACCATGGATTACTTCTTTTGAGTTCTCAGGCCACTAACAGAAACTGATGTTCAAGGATTGTCTGCCTCAGTCTAAGGATATCTAAGAAGTATACTATTCAATTTGGACAGTAAGAACAGTGGATATGGAGTCAGAGGTCATGGGTTTCAATTATAATTTAGCATCTAATTTACTAATAGAGTCCTGGTAATTTCAATTGTATTGACCTTTCCATATCTGCAAAATGAGGAGGTTGGACTATGTCAGTTGGAGAATCAAGAAGCATTTAAGTGCCTACTATGTGCCAGGTACTGTTCTAAACACCGGGATTCTAACAAAAAAAGGCAAAAACCAGTCCTGTTCTTGAGGGGTATAGGCCCTATGGAGTCTGAATCCATAAGAAGAACTATATTTAACCTTTAAACTTTCAGATTCTTAATTGAGACAGTCAATAAGCATTCATTGTTAAGCGGCTGCCAGATACCGTGCTAAGTTTTTCGATGTTACAGAGAAAAACCAGTCCCTGCTCTCAAGGGGTTCTGAAGCGTATGTCCTGTGGCGTCCGAATCTATAAGGCAAATTCCATTTAGTTTTAAACTTTCATGATTTCGCCAGACGCTGGATTGAGTCAGCTGCCAAACAAAACCAGCGATCTCATTCCATCGGCTCCGTATAATGTGACCGTGCCTTCCGCAGAATGAGTACACAATGTATCGCCTATCTAAGGAAATCTTTCAAAGGGAGGCAGATACATTTAAAGCCTCACAGGTTTCATAGTAGCCTGTTTTTCATATTTAGCACACTTGGTATAACTGCAAGTGGGACAATACGTATAGTTGATGAGAGCTTCTGGCTGGACTGATCTTTTTCCAGCTCTAGACTCTTCATTGTGACCTAAATTCCCTAAGGAAGTGGTTCATCCAAAGGCGGCCGGAGCCTCCTTGGAGCCCCTAGAGGAGTGGGGAGCGTGGGGGGATATCTCCCAGTTCCCGTGGAGAGGCGACTGGTGCTTGGGGCTCCTACAATGAACAAGGCCGAACGAGACAGGCTCCAGTGCACACACTTTATTCTTTCGTGTTCCCAGCCCTACCCCCCCCCCCCCGCACTTAATGGATGTCCCTGCCCTCCCGGGGCCTCCTACCTGCGGAGAAGCAGAGCAGGGAGACCCGGTAGCTCAGCCGGGTCAGGCCCAGGAGCGTGGGGGCAAAGAACATGGCCTCGTCGTCTGGGTGCGCGGTCAAGATCAGGGCCCTGCTCCCAGACCCCTCCCGCACCAGCTCCCCGCCCACGCCTCGCGTCCGCCCCGAGCAGCTCCAGGCCCAAGCCCAGAGTAGCCACAGGCCGAGGCCGGCCGAGGCCGCCAGCAGCAGCGCGGCCGACAGCACCATGGCGACTCCGGCTGCCGGAAGGAACCCGCCGGAAACTGGACTTGGCGGAGAGCGAGTTCCGCCAGTCCGCGAGGCCGTCGCCAGCACGCCTGCGCAGAGCGTCCCTCCATGCGCGGGCCGGCAGGTGTCAGTTTCTCCGGCCCCGCCCCGCCTCGCCCCGCCCCGCCCGGCGGTGGCAGCAGCGTGTGCCAGGATCCTGGCAGCGCTGCGCTGCCTTCGTTTTAAACTGCTCCGGGTCGCGGCCGTGTGCTCTCTCCCCGGGCTCCACGGCTTCACCCCCTTGCCCTCCTGGGCGGCCTCCCTCGCCTCTAGCCCGCTCTTTGAGCTCTCTCCGGGGAGTCTGGCCCCACCTTCCTCGTCCACCTCTTTCCTTCGGTTTCAATGCAACGTGTTTGCCATTATACGTGTAGAGAGTAGCCCCCACATCCCAAGCAGGACCGCGCGGGCAGCCTTTCCCTCCTCTTTGTTCCCTTCGAGGCCTCTCTCGGGGATCAACGGTCCGCGCGGGTCACGGTCGGACCGCCTCTCCTGCCCCTTGGGGCTGGGCCCAATGCGGTCCCGGCCGGCTCCCTTTGGGTCGCGTTCACAAGCCTGGCAGGGGTAGGGAGAGGAAAGCATGGTGTGGGCACAACGTGGGCGCCGGCCTTTGCCTAGACGGCCACACGCAAGGCGCTGTCCCCGGGGACCCAGCCTGGGCAGGATGAATGCTCTCGGTCCGGTCGCCGCGCGGCCCTGATCCTGCCCCACAGCCTGACACTCGAGCCTGGGGGACGAGAGAGAGACTCGGGGCCCCAGAAGGCGACCCAAGCGGACTGAGTGGAAGGAGGGACAGGTGGGTAAGCCCCGGGGCAGCCGGGCGCTCCCCACGTGTAGCCCCCACCCCCGAGCCTGGACCGTGGGGAGGGGGCGCAGAGGAACTAGCAGGTCAGCGCGAGGCCGGCGTCGCGAGCCTGCAGGCTGGAGGAAAAGACAGCGGAGCAGGGGGAGCGCCCCCCCGCCCCGGAAGGGGGCGGGGGCCTGGACGGGGGCGGGGCCGGCGCGGCGGCCGGCGCTGGGGGAGGGGCGCACTCAAGATGGCGGCCGCGCTGGCGGAGCAGCAGGGCCCGCGGCGGTGGCGGCGGCGGCGGCAGCGGCTACAGCGACGACAGCAGCAGCCGGAGCAGCAGCAGCAGCAGCAGCAGCGGGACCCGCAGTCGCGGCGGCGACACGAGTGACAGGCGAGCGCGAGCGCGCGCGCCGGCCCCTCCGAGGGGCCGCGGGGAGCCCCCGCCCGTCCGCCGCCTCGCTCGCCCTGCCCCGGCCCGCCCGCCCGCCCGCCGCGCCGTCCCCTCGCCCTGCCCCGGCCCCCTGCCCGGGGGGCGCTCCAGTCCCCCGCCCCGCCGCCGGTGAGTAGGCCCCGGGTCGAGGCGTCGTCGGGGGGCCGTGGAAGCCGCGCGTGCGTGCGGCGGGGCCCCGGGGAGCGGGCCCGGCAGGGCCAGGGCGGGAGGGGGAGCAGCACGTGAAGGGCCCCGGCGTCCCCCTCCCCCCACCCCCTCGACCCTGGCGGGGGGATGCTGCTGCCGACCCCGGGAGGGGGGCCCCGGGGCGGGGCAAACCTCCCACCCAACGAACTCTGCCTGGGCGCTGCCCCCGACCCGCTTCGGGAGAGATACAAAGGCCGCCCGAAACGGCCGAGCTGCCTGGGACCCCATAGACCGGCCCCTCACTTTATGGCTGGGGGTGGTGGTGAGGGGGGGATTGAGACCCCGAGGGGCTTCAGGGGTGACCTTAGATATCATCGGGACCTAATCCCTCACGTTACGGGGAGGGAAACTGAGGCCCAGAGGGGGCCAAGGATTTGCCCAAAATCACAAAGGTCATAGAATCTTAGATTTTGAGTGGGAAGGAACCTCGGAGGTCATATCTTCTGATCAGTCATTTTACAGATGAGGAAATTGAGTCTGAAGAAGGAAAGGGACTTGCCCAAGGTCACGCAGGTAACAAGTTGAGCCACGTTTTGAATCTAAGTCCTTAGACTTCCACGTCCAGCTCCTAACCTTTGCTTCTAGGAGTTTTTAGTCTTAAAACTTAGGATCCAGGGAACTCAGTATACTCTTTTCCCCTTTAAAATTTTGTCTCGGGTCAGTGAGTGCAGCTTCTTCTTTTTTGGATAAGAGAGGCGATTGAGAAACCTTCAATTGAGAAACACAGTTTTGTCTGTGAGAGAGAAAAGAATCCGATTAACTGGAAAGGAGTCGTATAGATTTAGTGGAGGTGTGGTGGAGTAGTGTGGTCCTGTATCCTGTTTGTCAGGGATGTTTACCAAGAGCATATACCGAAGATACATACATTTCCTCCAGTTGCTCTCTCAGCCGTGGAAGCTTGCCGCAGTAAAAGTGGTGGAATCCATGAAATGGGAAGGGTTGATTGGTTTGTTTGGGTCCTTGTGTCTAGATGTTTGTAGGGTGCCTTGCATGCAAGAAACACTTTGCAAAGGTTTCTTCGGTGGAACTGAACTCTGACTGGACTAACTGTTCTAGTCAAGAATCCCACATTTCTTTAGAATTATATTCTCAACAGAACTGTCTTCTCACTTCTTATTTGTTAATATTTGTTAGTAACATTGATTTACATTCTGCAAAGGTACCCTGGTGACCATGGAAGGGACCATGGCTTTAGAGGGGAGAAAAATTGATATGGTAATTGCCTAAGATTAAATTGCCTGTAGATATTCACAAAGCGTAGGGTGTTCTTGTGTGCGGTATGTTAGTGTATGCACTCCCAGAGTAGTTGGAAGAGCTTTCCGTTCATTTTGACACTTGTTTGATGGGGCATTGTGGAATTGTAGAAAGAGAATGAACTTGGTTCTGGTGGGCAACTTCATAGCCAAATGTGCCTCTGGGTCTTGGGTTCTTCAACTCTCAGATAATGAGTTGACCCAGTTGAAGCTGTTTTCTAGTTATACCATTCTCTGAATTGTTTGAATAAGTAAGCAAAGTTATAGTTGTAAAATCCTGTCCTTTACAGGCTGACCTCAGCTTACCTTTCCAGCCTTCTTGCTCATTGTTCACCTTCATTCGTCCCTGGTTCTGCACAGATCAGGCCATTTGCCTGTTCCCTGTAGACATTCCATCGTCTGCCTCCAGGCCTTTGCACTTTTGTCTCCATTCCCTAGCATCTTTCAAGATGCCCCTCCAAGGCCACCTTCTCCACAGGCCTGCCTATTCTGATTTCCCTGGATTGCCAGCGTACCCTTCCCATTTCTTTGTATTTACTTTGTATATATTTGTTCTGTATGTTTACTTTGTAAACCTGTATCTATATGTATCTCTATATTTTATATTTATATTTGCTTCTATGTGTAAGTGTGTACATATTGCTTCCCTGATAGAATATAAGATGCTGAAGGGCAGGCAGGACTATTTCATGCTTGTCTCAGTCCTTAGCACCTGGCACCCGGTAGACAAGTAAATGCTTATTTGAATATTGAATGAGTAAAGCTGAATATAAATGTTAGCAACCTGTTTTTAGATGAATTATTAGACATCATAAAAAATCAATGTAACTTGCTGAAGAAACGGTTGTATTTTAATTTCCCATACAGTGTATAAAATTAAATCCATTGGGAGACTTGTTTCTTTTTTTTTCTCATCCTTGTGCTATGATAGTCCCTTTAGTTGCCGTCTCACGTATTTAAGCAAATCCTTTTAAACATTTGAATTTACACAAAAAATAAAGTTAGTAGTGATTTTTAAAAGGGATTTTCCATTTTGCTGTGGTTCTAGGGTATGAATGGGTTAATTTAATGTACAAGGAGATTCAGATGAAATAGTGAAAGCTTTAATTACTATGAGAAGGAAGTATATAATGTTTGGAGAGAACGTTGTTCCATTGAAAAATAGTTGGGTGAAAGATTGTTCCAGTGATAAGAAAGTTTAGGCCAGATGGATTTTATGAGGGGGAGAGAGGGGGATGGCTCTTCTATCATCAGGATGGTTACCTGTAAGGTGCTTTTAAATTCATTTCATGTTGTTGCCCCCAGTAGAATGGTCAGAGACTTTGGCAGAGTAAGAAATTGATGTAGATACATTTTCAGATTATATATTGTTCATTTTTAATGAATGCATGACATTACTTCCAGTCTCAAACTATTTTGATTCAGACTGTGGTTGAGGTGTTGGAGGAGGACTTTGGTGGAAAAGTAAAAGAAACACATCAATCTATATGTATTTTATTTTTTTTTGGTAGTTTTTTGGTAGGCAGTTGGGATTAAATGACTTGCCCAGAGTCACACAGCTAGTGAGTATTATGTGTCTGAGGCTGGATTTGAATTTAGGTCCTCCTGACTACAGGGCCAGTGCTCTATCCACTGTGCCACCTAGCTGCCCTAACAATCAGTATTTTGGTCTGTGTTTGATAGGACTATACCAGTAGAATGGCTTTATATCATAGGATCATCATTTTGAGTTTGAAGGTCACTTGGCTCAATGCTTTTACTGGACAGATAAAGAAATTGAGGCTCGGTGAAATTAAGGGACTTGCTCAAGATCAGTCTTGGTTACTGAATTGTCCACATTTCTTTTTAAGGGTATGTTACTTAATCCTAAGTAAATATAGTCTGTTTTCTGACTTAGACTCAAACCCTTTCCAGCATGGTGGGATCTGCACAAGGTTGTGTGCTCATGGGCATATAGACTTTGAAAACCCCAGCGGAGCAGTTCTTTATCTGTGCTCCAGGGACCTGACTTTAAAAAAAAAATATATATATATATATATATGTGTGTGTGTGTGTGTGTGTGTGTGTATATTTTGATAACTGTATTTTAATAGACTTGGTCTTTTTTGTAATCCTACTTACATTTTATTTTATGTATTTGTATACATTATTCTGAGGAGTCTGTAGGTTTCACCAGACACTGCCAGAGGGCTCCAAGGCACATGAAAGGTTAAGAACCCTGGCATAAGGTCACCTGCAGACTATGGTTGAGGGGCTGGAATAGGAATAATGTGGAAGAGCAAAAGAAATATTCTCAATATTTTTGGCCTATTTGTGTCTTCTTATGGTGAGTAGCAGTAGTGCTTTGAGTTGCTTAATTTTATCTGCTTTTGCTTATAAGGAAACATTAAATAAAAATGTTGAGGTCACCTGGACCTAGAAAAGTTTGGTTGTCAAATGTCAGAATCACACTGTCAAGACTTATTTAGCCTAGTATTTAAAATATCCTTTCTTAGACCAGAGAGATTGTCTAAATTAGACTCTTATGCAAACTATTCATATGTTTGTACTACTTGAGTTTTGGCAAAGTATAGTAAAAGGATTGTCTGCTTTGTGGGGGGGGGTCTGGTTTTACATTTTAACAACCTAAATTAGTTTGTATTTAAATGAAACTACTTTTCTCATACTATGCAGTGGTCTTTATTTGGGTGGTTGTTCAGTCAGTTTTCGGTTGTGTCCAATTCTTCATGACCCCATTTGGGAGTTTCTTGGCAAAGATACTGCAGTGGTTTGTCATTTCCTTCTCTAGTTCCAGTTCATTTTACAGATGAGGAAACTGAGGCAAACAAGGTCTAGATAAGTAACTTAAACAAGATCATGAACTTTATTCTTATTTCCATATAGAAATACCCATTTGTAATGTGTAATGTCTACAATCTAACTTTTTATTGGTCTTGGTAGTATAAAAATATTTTTTGATAACAGGCATCTGAGTTGGGGAGTCTAAAAGATTTTTCTCTTTTTTCTTCTTGTTTTTTAAATTAAAAAAATTATGAACTTAAAAACATACATACAAAAAGATTTTCATATACAGAGCAGAACACAAAAAGAGGATTCTATAAGAAACCATAGTCTCCATTTCACTCTGCTTGCTTTAAAATATGTGTGTGTGTATAATAAATTCTACATGTTCCTTTCCAAACTGTCTTACTTCTGAATATCCTTCTGTTCTTGTCTGTGTGTTTTAAAAAAATTATAGTGGCCACTTGGATGGGGCATCACTATTGCTAACCACCTCTTGCCCTAAACCACCTTGCCTCTATTAAAAACTAAAAGAAAGAAAAAGAAAACCCTCTTTAATATAGTTGAGCCAAATGGATATACTCAGTGGCCATGACAGAAACTTGTGTCTGTCCCTTGTGACCATCATTTCTCAGTCAAGAGGGGGGGGGTAGCATGCTTTATCCCAAGGTGGGTTATAATTTTGATGAGAGTTCTTAAGACTTTCTGAGTTTTTCTTTACAGTGTTGCTGTCTTTGGACACATTGTTTTCCTAGTCACATCATTCTCCTCGGTTCATACTATCAAGGATTCCCCGAGTAGTTTCTTTCTATATTTCTTATGGCATAATAATATTCCATTACATTCATATGCTGCAATTTGTTCAGCCACTACCCAGTTGTCTATCAGACAGTTTGAGATACTTCCCTTAGATTCTGTTTCTTCTCTGCCCCGATCCTCATTTTAATCTCTCCTTCAGGATAAGGAAGTTTGTTTCATTTGTGACCATTGCCACCCTGGTATTATTTTCCATCTTAACTCCTTAGCCGAATAACCCTCCCCCCCATCCCAGCTTGTTTTACTCTTGAGTTTGATGTATTTCTATAACAAATTGTGTATGTTCATTCCTCCTTTGTGCATTTCAGATAAGAATGAAGTTCATCTGATGTCTCCTCCCTAAAACATTTCAAAGAATGAATTCGTTTCTTGTGTATTGATGTTTTCAAGTAAATACTAAAGTGAAGCATTTTTCTTTTTTCTTCTTTACTATTTATCCAACTAAATAACAGATCCCATTTCATGCCATTAAAAGGAGTAGAGAGCCCTTGTATTTGAATTCACTAGTTTGATAGCCTGGGAAAATTCCTTAGTGCAACAATTCTCAAACTTTTTAGGCCCAAGACCCTATTATACTCTTTAAAATTAGATATAACCTACTTGAAAATTAGATATAACCCACATAAACAAGACAGCTTTTGTTTATGTGACTTATCTCTTGATATCTTCCATATTAGAAGTTTAAATTTTAAAAAATTATTCATTGGAAATGACAAATTCATTACATGTTAATATAAATAATCTATTTTATGAAGAATAACTATTTTCCAAAACAAAAGTTTTAGTGAGAAGAATGGCATCATTTTACATAGTTTTACAAATCTCTTGAATTTCTGGCTCAGAGGTAGGGAACCTTGGTTTGGAATCAGTCAGAGGGCTGCACTTGAGGACCTAAAGGGCTACATGTGACCTCAAGGCCAAAGGTTTCCCACACTTGGGTCACTCTGGCTTAAAGTTTCTGCATTCAGTTGGTTGCAGTGTGGTGTTTTGGTTGAAGTACATGAAGGAAATCTGGCTTATGTAGTTGGAAAAGAGAGGAATATTTTAATAGGCAAAATACATCTTAGTTATCATCAAAATAGTTTTGACCTTCCTCAAGATGCCCTGAAAGAGTCTCAGGAACCCTGCAGGGGCATGGAAAACTGTACTTGGAGAACTACTGCTCTAGTGCATGGTTATTGAAGATATACTGTAAGTAGCAGCTTTGTGATGAGTGTAATTTTTGGAAATCACCAAAAGCAATTTAAACAGAAAATTCATAGGAGTCTTGATGAAATAGAACAACTATATACACATTGTTTATCATAGTGTTTGTATTTTCACTCAACTTTTATTATACATAGTGTTAATTTGTATGCAAAGTATTTTGTGTTCATTGATAGAACTCTACAAAACAAAAGAAAAATTAAATGGGCATGAGAAATATTGTCTCATTCAGTCGGTGATGGGGAATGCCTTTTCAAAATTAAAAAAAAAAAAGGTGGTAATTATGGGGAGTGGGATTCACGCTGGACCCTTAAACGAACCCAAAAACCTTTGAACCAAGTCTGCTGGCACTCATCCCATCTCAGTATAATCCTTTTATTGTGCCCTCCTTGTCTACACCTGGCCCCACTGCAGGCTATTTGCCACTCCTCTCTGTTACCTTAGGGTCACTTCAGCTTATTGGCCACTCCTTGTTGCCATACAGATTTTCCCACAATCTTTTTCACTATAAAAAGGGGTCAGTCTTATCTACCGATTGCTCAGATTCTTAAAATCTTGTCAATACAATAGTCACAAAAGCGCAGGTTCTTAAAAATCCTGCCCGCTTCTATTGGCGAAACAATAAACCTTGTCTCTAACTGAAAGAAGGCTTGAGTTGAAATCTTTTGAGGCAGGACTTGAGCCTTTTGCCCTTGAATTTTGGGGTTCCCGGCACCTCTAGCCCTCAACAGTAGTATTGATTGTTAAGTCCTTTACCGTATAAATTATGGTTAAAACAGTTTTTGAAGCCAATTCTAGCACATTCTTCTTACAACCTTCCTCTACCCTATGCAGATGTATGGCTGTGGCCATTTGTGCTACTTTGGTTGTTCTTTTCCTTTTGTTATATTATCTTGACCGATAAACATCTAATGTATTAAGTGATATCAAGTCAGATCATATCATTGAGTTAATGTTTCCTGGAAAAGTTGACCTTTAGATATGTATGTTATTTTTAGAGTTGCCTAGAGTGCCATGCCAAGCTTATGGTTCTTGGCTGCTGTGAATACCTTGGAGCCTATGGTTGGTTCCACAGAAAATAGATCTCATCTTTACTGACAAAATAATCCCCTTCAGGCTCTTATTTTTCCCATAACAATATAATAATGGAACAACTTTCCTGTATGTGTTTTAGGTGCTAACTAGCAGCACTATTGAACATGCTAGCATTTGAACTTTACTTTTGATTGTCTCCTTTTTCTACTCACACTTTGAATGAGACTAAGTGTCAGGCATCTAGTTAGTCACATGTGGAACAGTGGTGGGAGCTAGGTAATCTACTAAATACCTTCCTGCTTTGACTGCTCAACTCTGGGAGACATAGGAAGACAAAGGACATAGGGCTTCAGTCCTCAGAAAGCGTACAATCTAATGGGGATCTAATTTATACCCAGCTGACATTCCAAATGAGAAATGTGTGCTCCACAAAGCGCTTGGAGAGTTCAGGGAAAGAAAGAATCCCTTCTGGCTGGGGTGATGAGGAAAGCATTATTTAGGGAGGAGGAAACGTCAGAGCGAGACGATTTCTTCAGTCAGGACGATTTCTATACAGGTATATTCCAAAGAGATGTGGAATAGTGTGAACAAAGGCAAAGGTAGAGAGGCTCTCCCTTTGAAGTTTCTCACACCAGCTCTGAGGCTGGGAGTAAGAATGTTTTCCCCCTTTTACAGATGAGGAAACAAAGTCAGAGAGGTGGAGTGACTTGCTGGAGGGTCACAAAACAAGTGCCAAGATTGGAATTTGGACCCAGAACTTCTGGACTCCAAGGTCAGTGTTCCCTCCAAAGTCTCCCAGTGTCTTTTTGTAAGCTTGTAGAACCTGGAGCTGGAAGAGATTTTAAAAATAATCTAATGTAACTCCCTCTTTGTACAGATGAGGAAACGGGTCCAAAGGGAGTCATTGACTTGGCCAAGTCACACTGGTAGTAAAAGTAGTAGGACCAGGATTCTAACCCAAGTCTGCTGACTCTAAATCCACTTATCTAAATGATGAATGGTGAATAAGCCAGTTTGATTGGATTACTTCAACTGAGGGCAGCTAGGTGGCACAGTGGATGGAGTGCTGAGTCTGAAGTCAGGAAGACTGTTCTTCCTAAGATCAAATCTAGCCTCAGACACCTCAGTCACCTGTGTGACCTTGGGTAAGTCATTTTACCTTGTTTGCCTCAATTTCCTCATCTGTCAAATGAGCTGGAGAAAGAAATGGCAAACCACGACAGTGTCTTTGCCACGAAAACCACAAATGGGGTGATGGAGAGTGGGACAGGACTGAAATAACTCAACAACTTCAACTAATCAATATAACTATAACCTATTCTACCCTCTAGTTTAGAGTCCAAAAGAAATAGGGATAAGCCAGTGGTCAGAGGGTTTACATCCACAGATTCACAGCAGTTTTAATCCATAGACAGACTAGAGGAACACATTTTGGTGAGGGGGTTCTATTTCCATGCTAATGACTTTTGCTGCTGATTATCTGAGTATCTTCTTTTGCACGGAGTTATAGGTGGACCTTGATTTATGCAGTGTGCTCCTGAAAAGTTGTATGTAAATACGATTTTAAAAATTGTATTGTATTTTACATGTGACATTCACAGTAAATACTAGTAAACATGTCAAAACAAATATAAGCTATATCAGCTAAAATTCTAAGAATTAAGCTGTTTCCATTTTTGTTAAATTGACAGAAAGTACTCTTTTAACAAAATAAAAACCCCGACCTTTTAGGAGTGTGATATCTAAAAGGTTTGGATTTTCAAAATATCAATTAAAAAAAAACACCTTTAGAAGGAATTATCTTTTGTTTTACATCATCTTCATTTCTGAATATCTCTTCTCTACCCAATGGTCCATTCCTGATTAAAAAAAAAAAGCATACAAAAGAGGAAACATGGTTTAGCAAAATTACTCAACACATTGACCAAATCTGGCAGTGTATGTACAGTGTTCTATACCCATAGTCGCCCTCCTCTGCAAAAAAGAGGAGAGGTGCATTTTGTCATCTCTTCCTTCTGGCCCCATTTGGTCATTCTCATCACCTATCATTCAGTTTCCATTTTTTTTTTATTCTTTCTATCAAGATAGCAAGGTAGCCTCCTAGATAGAGTGTCTGATTTGGACAGCTCCAGTCCTGCCTTAGACACTGTGACCCTGAGCAGGAACAAACTTTTATTAGGCACTTAATTTGAGCTGGGCATACAAAGAAAGGCAAGGAATAGTCCCTGTTTTAAAAAACTCTCACAATCTAGTGGAGGAAACAATATGCAAACAGCTATTTACAAACAAGATATACACAGGATAAATTGGAAATAATCCACAGGGGGAAAGCACTGAGATTGGGGAAGGCTTCTGGCAGAAGAGGGACTTCATTTGAAGGAAACCAAGGAAGCTATAGGAGGTGCGATGAAGGAGGGAGGATGAGTATTCTAGGCATGGGGAATGGCCAGGAAAAATGCCTAGAGGTGAGAGATGGGATGTTATGTGAAAGGAACATCTAAAAAGAGATCAGAATGTCATAGAGAAGTGAAGGGGACCAAATGATGTTGGACAACACCTACTTTAAGGGTCTAATAGAGGTCTCAGACAGGAAGGCTAAATTCAAGGAGAAGGCAGTGTCATGGAAAACAGGGGCAGAGAGGATCAAGGATAGTTAGAGGATGAGGCCTGTGACCATCAGATGGATGCTAGGGAATGAGCCAGGAGATTGCTTTAAGAACTAGAAAGAATAGTCCTGGTTCAGTTTTTCTTTTTTGTGACTTTTTACTGCTGCTGTCGCCGCCGCCGCCGCCACCACCACCACCAGCGCCGCGGCCATTGCCACCACCACTCCTCCTCCTCCTCTCCCTTTTGTAAGACCATCAGTTTGATACTTAAGAGACAAACCTCACATTCATGGCACCAACTTTCTTGTCCTTTATCGTTTCAGTTGATCTGTAGTACGGTGTAAGGTGAGGTCAGGAAGGGTCTGGGCTTTGGTCCCATTGACCAAAAGAGGTGACTCGATTATCCAAGGTCATACCAAGTAGAGGTAGAGCTACAGCTTGAACCCAGGTCACTTGTCTTCGTGCCACCCCTAGATATGGCATCTGTTGTATTAAGTATATGCTGTTTGTCCTAATTACCTGAAATGGTCCCTGTCATGTAAGGTCTCATTTTAGGTTCACCAGCCACTGTTAATGAGGCCTTAGCATTTGTATTTGATGGTTTAAATTTTAAAATTCTAAATGCATTATGCTGTAGGAGTGCCAAAGGAGGGGAACAGAGGTACAGATCATACAAAAGCATTTATTTAGCTTTGGAATATATTTTGTACTCATTTAACTGATCAGAAGTTACTTAAATAACAAAACTACACTGTGAAGATTGACCCCAGGAATGTAACAGTGGTGGAGCTTTCCTTGTCCATACCTTCCCTGCCCCTAACGTAGACACACACACACACTCACGATGTTACCTTAGAATCACAGGGTAGAGCTAGATTGCTTCAACTCTTTCAGGATCACTTGATCCAGATTTAGATAGATATGTTTGTTTAAACTGAGAAGGTGATAACTATCAAACAAATTGAAAACTAGAGTTCCCATATCACAATCTTTCCAGAAAAGGAGAAGAATATTTCAGTTTATTACAGAAGAAAAACTTGTTATTTGTAGCATTTTTCTTGATAGTTTCAATTCAGTAAAAATTTCTGGGTTTTACAGAAGAGAATTCACTCAGAATAATACTGCTTGACCTCAATTTCTGGAGGCCAAACTAGGACAAGGTCAGAAGACCTGATCTAGTTTTGGATCATAACCTGGCCTACAAGGTAAGCCAGGGAGATTGGGTTGTTTTGGGGATTTTAGCCTGGTATCTAGGAACTTTTGAAAAATTGCTAACTATTTCAATATAGTTGATTGCCCTTATAATTCTGTGTATTCTGTGTATTTAAAAACATTCTGAGAAGGGTTCGCAAACCTTACCTGACTGCCCAAGGGGGTCCATGAGATAAAAAACATTCTAAACCCCTATAGAGTATGGTTCATTCTGAACTTGCCTTACTTAAGATGCTTACCTCTGAAATTCTCCCTCTTAAAGCCATCTATAAATGGTGGGCTTTAACTTCATTGCTGGGTGGTTCTCTCCTCCCTCAAGTTCACTTTTAGGAAAACTTGACTGTGACACACAAGCATCAAATTGTTATTTTAATTAATCTCTTTGTATAGTTTGGTCATAACTATGTGCCAGTACCACTTTTAGTAGGTGTTTACAAACAGTTTAAAACAGTGTCATTTATCCAGTTGGCTGCTTTAGGAATTAATTAACTCAGATAATAATATTTAACATGATGTAGCAAAATCATGATTATTTTTGATAATGGGTGACTCTAGCAATCCAATTTTTATTATTTCAAAAACTTTTAAAGGAGAAATTTGAAATAAGTGATATTGATGTTCCTTAAAAAAAAATTGCTGTCATTTCCTACTGATTTGTCATGCTCCAATAGACCTTTTCCATGTAACGAGTATAGTTAAGCAAAACAAGCACATTGGCCATCTCTGAAAGCATCTGCCCCATTTTGCACCTTTAGTTAGGCTTTCACCCTCAGTCTTGAGAAGTCATGCTTGGTCATTGATTAGATTTTGAAGGCTTTCAGTGTTTTCCTTTACATCATTATGGTCATCTCGTGAATTGTTCTTGTTTCTGCTAATTTCCCTCTGCTACCAGTTGATACAAGTCTCCCACATTTCTCAGAATTTTTCGTATTTCTTATTTCTTCTTGTGCAATTGTATGTCAGTACATGCAGAGATTACATTTTCTGTGGCTATTCTCCACTTGAGAGGTACATACTTTCTTTCCAGTTCTGTGGTACCACCCCAAAAATGCTGCTATAAATATATTTGTATATACCATTTAAGACTCTTCTCATCTTTGTCTTTGGCCTCCTTGGGATTATGTACCTAATAAATGTATTGTTGTGTCTAAGGGTATGTAGATTTTTAGTGACTTTTTGGATATTATTCTAAATTGCTCACTGGAGACCAGTTTACAGTATCACTGGAAGAACTTTTGCTGTGCTTGCATTCCCAAAGCCCTCCTGTGTTCACCATGTTTGTCTTTTGTCATCTTTGGCAAATTGATGAATGGAATGTGGTAAAACCTCAGAGTTGTTTTAATTTACATTTATTGTTGATTTATAATCTTTTTTCAAATGTTTGTTAATAGTTTAGACTTTTCCTGTTTGTATTTTTTGGCTATTGGGAAATGGTATTTATTCTTACATATTGATGTCAGGTCTCTATGTACCTTGAATAGCAGGCCTTTATGAAAGAGATTTACAACAAATATTTTCCCCAATTAACTGCTTTTCTTTTCAATTTGGCCATAATGATTTTGTTCATACAAAGCCTTTTCAGTTTTATGTAATTACAGTTTTTTCTTTTATCTCTTTTGATCATTTTTATCCCTAGTTCAGTTAAGAATTCTCTAAGAATATGTACTTCCATTCTCATTTAGTTTTAAAATGATTGTGATCTTTTATATTTAGATCAGGTATCCATTTGAAACTTACTGTGGTGTGTATTGGAAAATGTGGTTGGTCTAAGTTCTGCCAGACTTCTTTCCTTATTTCTCACCAGTTTTTGTCTAATAGGGAGGCTATATACCCCAGTAATTGGTCTTGAGTTTAGTGATCTCCAAGTTGCTATGTTTGGTTGCTTCTGGATCTTGCTTCCTTACTCTCTTTTATTTATCAACTCTTTTGTTTTTTAACTTGTACTAGTTTTTAT